AAATAATCTGTGAACGGATTAAAAAGAAAGTAAAAAAAAAAAAAAAAAAACAAAGAAAAAACCCCAAATTAATAGAAACTTCAATACCCTCTTTTTTTTTTTTTTTTCCACTTTTTGGAATATTTTTAGACTATTGTTGATATGATACAGAAATTTAGGTCAATTTCTTTGCACCAGATGTTAATCTGAATTCTTCAAAAGGAAAACTATCTATACATATATATAGATAGTATATCTATACATAACTCTTCTTACCAAGGGCTCAGTCACTAACTGACACATATTGATCTATCTCAATACAGTACAAGGACATCACAATGTACTCTTGGTATTATGCAGATCTCTGCACAGCTATTTGACTACAGAAGAGTTTGTCAGACTTGCTCTTTTCCATTTGGGCTTTGATCATTACAAGATACATGTTTTGAGGTATTTTAATTTCTCTTTCTTTCTGCATTTTATTTAACTATAGTTTCAATAAATAGTTATACTTCTCTATTTATCCTATCACACACATTAGGAATTGTATCATATGAAAGTTCTGATCTTAGTTGCCTAAAAAGAGCTCTCTCTTCAACTGGGGTGCAGTATTTCTTAAGCGGACATAGTCTAGGATGAGGAAAATTGAAACCTGCAGCAACAAAGGGTTGGAGTGTAGGCTTTGATGACCCCAGGAGCAGAAAACCATAACTCCAAGTCCCAGTTTGTTCCAAGAGTCCCCATCCACTGCTACTCCAGAAGGAAGCAATCTCCATCAACCATGTTCAGGTGCAGATTTCTTGTCCCATCTCCTCACCAGCTCTGTCGTGCTGGCCAGTATTTACAGTGCTAGAGTAAAAGCCTCACGCACTATGTCCCCCCATTTCGACATGTGCTTCTGGGCTGGTCCCACTTAGCTCTTTCTATAGCCATTGGAGAGAAGCAGACAGCAGTTCAAGGCACTAATCCATCTGAACTGTCACAGGTATCTACAGCAGAAGGAGACAAATCTTCCTCTAGAAGTGCCTGTTGACTGTAAGAGAAGCCCAAGCTGACTAGCTTGGATGGAAAGATTTACTTTTGGTGAGCTCAGTCCTACCATGGAAGCTGTTCTCCCTACTTCACTGTGGCTCAGGCTGAGAACAGCCTACACAAGGACTAAAACCCTGTTTCATGTCCCCTATTTGTCACAATTTTTGTTACAATTACTGGTTTCTCATAAAGTCATCATTCAAAAGCTTACCAAGGCAAGCTTTGTGAAACGAACTGATGTTGACCAGGGAAAGCTTCAGCCTATTCAGAGTCATAAAAGATTTTTTTCAGCTATATTTAAGTTTTCCAGTCATGTCATAAAGTGCTGAGAAAAACTGGCTATAGATTACTGAACTATTTCCTATCTACCTTACCGAGATTCAAAGCAGGCTCTGAAAAATGGACTCTGTGGATGTATCCTCTGTCCTCATGCTACCCCACAGCAACATGGATATCTCTATAGTCATTTTGTAGTAACATACTAAATTTGGCCCTAAATCCAAATTGCTTCTTTTCTTCCCAGCTTTTGAAATATTATAGAAATAGTCACCACTTCATTAGAAAAAATAAATTAGGTATTCCTGGGTATTGCAAACTAGCTTATTCTTCTCAGATCATTCTGCTAGTTCATCTTCTCAAATCCTATTCTAGTGTGAAAAATCATTACCAAATGTTTTTTTCCAAACTTCTGTCAGAATTGTTATGCTTTCATTAATCAAAAGAAACAACCCAAAACTTAAACAAAACTGGTTAGACAATAGGTTGATAAACACTACACAATATTATTGCATAGCTGGAAACATTTTTTTCCTCTGCTGCAAATATGGCTTTCTCAAATGATTCCTACCCAACGTTTAAAAAAAAATAAAATTACAAAACCTCTTCTTTGATACTTCACTGAGCTTTTTGGCTAAAGATTTCTTTATATCAGTGGTTCCAGTGAAAGTATTGGACTTGCATGGTATAGCAAGAAAGAGTCTAATAACTAATATGCATGGTGGAGCTGATTCAATGAGAAAGTAAACTAAAAAAGGGACATCATCTGCTTTGTCAGAGAAATGGACCAATGACCTCTCATACTTTCTAAGACAACTCAGAGTCTTACTAATATTTTAGGTCTTAAATTGTCAAAATATTTTAAAACATACTAGATAAAATTGACCCACTTAAAAATTCCATAGGCTTTAATTCACTTACTTAAAAACTATGCTTTTCCATGCAATTGTTGAGATACAGGAAGCTCCTAACATAGGTCTTCTCATAGAATTTATGCAAGAAATTAAATTTTTTACTGCATTACTACTTTAAAATTAAATACATGTTAAGTTTGCTGTACTTTGTGCATGCTCAAAATATGTTGTGATGTTTGCAAAGATTTTTCTAACAACGTGTGGTTTTGCAATAGGCAAAGTAACTCAAAAAAGGTTAAAGTTATGCAGAATGGTATGAACTCAAAATAATATCCAAACTCTTATGTTATAATAAATAAGAGAAACAAATTTACACTGAAGGGTAAGACTAGAGAGCTGAACTTACTATGAACTTATTTTAATGAAACATCAACTCAGAAAAAAAAGTCAGACTAATGTGACTTTGTTTTCTTGATGTCCCATGTGAAATAAACTTTGAGTGTGAGTATGTTTGAAACAGAGCAAATGTACATATTATACACAGGAAGCATGGATGTTTGTGGATGTGAGATAAGCGATGATTGAGGGAATCCTGAAAAAATGCATTTTCAGGAAAAACCACATTGTAAACACAGCCAATTAAAACATAACCACATATCTTAGTAGCAAAATAATACGACCTCTTGTAATTAAGGCATTTTAAAATCTTCCATTTCTGCACAAGTCCTCTTTTCTTAATGCAATGATATATCTTTGTTTCCAAATGATCATTAGCCTAACATCTTTTAAACTGTTGCAAAGGCACTACTAACATTCCTCTTAACCTACTAGCAGAGCCACGCTGCAAAAATGATGAGCCCTTGCTGGGAGACAGCGATCTGGCATTTTCAGTCTGAACGCATCAAAGGAAGCATTCGAAGACAAGCCAGGGCAAGAGGGGAAAGAGGGTCAATCTACAACTCCATTGTCGGAGTTGGGAGCACAACAGTGTAAAGAAAAGTGAAAAAAAAGAAAGAACGAGGCAGAACAAAGAAGTGTCCGGGCCTGCCTTGGCTTGTGCTGGGAACTGAGATGTTATAAATTAACAAATAAACAAGGATAAGACAAGCTGTTACCCAAGACTCTACAGTATCTGAGCAGAGATGAATATGTGCCTTGACATACAAACTAAATCACCATAATAGGCAAGTCTCAATGCAACACATATCTTTAAAATATTTGTAAATGCTACATCCACTCCATCCATTGTTCCTCAATTTCCAAAATTCACCTGGTTTTGTTCAAACCAGATTTTATCTGCAAACAGCAGCTGGTTTGGGCCAAATACAATGAACATTTTTCACTGTATTTGGTTTGTTGCCATTCTATTTTATTCTTTCACCAGATAACATGGAAACAGACATCCTGGATGCTGTGACAGCTATTTAAACAATAATAGATGAATAGAGGTAGCCATTCTCTTGTCTTTGTTCCTGAAAGCAAGTAGGGTAAGTTCAGATCAGTCACCAATCAAACTGGAGAATATTGATATTGCCAGGATTTGAAAGCAAGCGATAATAGCTGGCTCCAAAAAATACTATACAGATTACTGCCTTTCTGTAATCATTTAATGGTTTTTTTGTAATGCATCTTGATGCTTTTTTGTTCTCTGTAAAATATTTCAAATGTATTTGTTCCTAAAACAGGCTCATTCTTACCATCTGAATGATGGAAAAGGATCCTGTTTTCACTTTTTACTATCATAAATCTGGTGCATACGTTTTTGTGGAAACAATCTATTCCATTTGGCTTAATATGATTTTCGTTTATGTTGTCAAACACCCTTTAGTACAAAGTTTTGTATTTCGCCTTTCTCAGAGTTAGAGGTTTCAGGTGTGAGAAGCTCTTCTATTTTGATTCATCTCTAATTATTGATTTATATTAACACAAAAGAACAGGTGGTGCCATGTGCTGAACTGAAGTGTTTACCAACTTCATGAAGATCTAAAAATAAAAAAATA